AAAATTAAGTTTCTACAATATTTAGTAGTAGCTTATCAGTGGTTATCAACTACTGATGTGTTTAGGGTTTAGGTATAAATGAAAGAAGTCGAGATGATCTGGCATATGCACCTGCAGGTCGCTCTTCTTCTCCAGGGCTTTAGCGATGGTCTGCGCTGCCTCCACGCCGATGGTGTTCCCCTCCAGTCTGAGCGCAAGCAGCCCGTCAAACTCCTCGATCGCCTTCACCATCTCCTCCACTGCACACCACACAACATCACCTCTGTTACTCTTTCATAAAGATGCACAAGCGTGTGAAACCAGGAGATCACCGGCAGCTCACCAGACTGAGCGTTGTCCAGTTTAAGGCCTTGTCCTTTATAACTGAGCTCGCCCTCGTCGACTTGAGTTTTGGCCAATGAGTCGGCGAGATCTGCCACAGCATCTGATGCCATCTTGACCCCAACTGAAGAAAACACAGGAACACACAAGAGTGTAACATGATTTTAACTCTGCTGCTAAACAGACAAAGAAAAGTTCATGTGAATTATACAGATAACATTTGACTCACATCAAACCCACTACATTTTGACTAACATTATCACTTTTCATGTTACATTTACTATTATTAACAATGTAAATGTCATTTAAAATATTTTTATTAACATTAATTAAACTTCACTCATACATGAATCCCATGTAAACATACTTTACATGTTAAAACGTTAAATATTCTTATTAATAGTGTAACCACTGGTCACCCCTTAAGTGAAGCGTTTGTTTACATAAATGTACGCGTCTCTATATAAACGTGTTTTCATATTCATACACAGTGACACATGATCAGCACGCAAAGCACGTTTTAAGTGACGCAGCCTATTTACTAGACACTAGACACTAGTTTCTGGAATAAACTTCGCGGATGAATATTGAGTTTGTACTTACAGGTGGTGTTTGATGTGATTTTCTGGGTGCAGAAGTATTTCTGTTGCACCCAGTTGCTTCCTCCCGCTCGTTCTGATGATGCAGTGGCGTAGACGCGCAAGGGTTCATGGGATTTGTAGTTCGTACATTTTATTTAGCGTGTATT